ATAACTTTATTTTATTCGGTTAGAATATACTTCCTGAGGAACAATGAGAGCTGCCTTAGCTTAATTTCAGAATTGAAGCTAATTAGCCAATCAGAAATTTCGCTCCTGGCGCGCGTGAGAATAATGTAACATATTCAAAGGAGTCCGAATGAACTTGAATGCAATTTACGAAGTCGCTTTAGTACGATTCGTTATCGTCTTTACTCATTAATTAAGTAGTAAATTAAATAATATTTTACTGATAAGCTGCTCCTAGTTTGTCGCAAGAAAGTCGACGAAAGAAATAACGTTCTTTGCTTAATTAAATCAGTACGGAATTATTCAACTATTTCATGCTTTCCTGATTAATTTAACTTGTCTACAAAATTTTCTTTAATTTGTTAAGAGCATTAGACGCGCGAAACATTGCAAGAAAATAATCAGCAACAAACTGATAATTCTTAGACTGATGAAGATAAGGCGTAGATATTTGCGCAATTCAGTCAAACGTATAATATAATGATAAAAATTGATTTGAAGGAGCGAGAATTCTACATTATTGCTATATTTAGAATTTAAGAGAATAATCGACAGCATGACTTTCGAGAGCGTCACATTGGCGTAACTTTACTGGTAATGTTGCGCGATTAACAAATTTCTTTGTCGTGCAATGTAAACTCGCGCAAATCGATTTTCTCATATAAAAACATAGGCGATTGTTGCCTCGCTTGATTTCGATTCACACGAGTGAATTATTATTAGCATTAACGAGATATTATTTTGGGGGGCTGCACCACAGAGCCGGACATTCTGATTAAAATATTTTATATGTAATTTTTTGGGGGGAGGGGATAATTTTGATTTTATTAAGTACACATTTGTGATCAAATTATTGATGAATAATTAATGATAATATTAGAGATTTTAATTTGTATTATGAAAATTTGAACGAGTTACATGGTTTGATGCAATGCAATTATTTTCTTAAAATTTCTTCAAGATTTATTCGTTTTTATTTAACTTTATAATGAGATTAAGTAGGAATTGCTTTCGTCGAATGACAATTATAAATCTATCCTTTTCGTGATAGTATCATTTTGAGTCTCGTAGTTTTAATGTCTTGGGCCGGCCCCGCTGTGTCGATCGCGCAAACTACCCTAATCTCTCCCGGCGCTCCTATATATAAAATTATATTTACAACAGAGTGATTATTTCTTTGTGTTGAGGTATTCGCGTCTAGGCGCGTCTAAAAAGAGAGCGTGCACTATTTCGAGGAGCGAGAGAAAGGCTTGCGAGAGGACTCCCGCAAGGAATTTTCTTCTCACCTTCGTCCTGCTCAACTCATTCTTCGATCCTCTCGCTCTGAAAAGGGGAAAAGATATAATGAATTCTCCTCCTTTTCCTATCTTTATCGCGTTTGCCGTGATTGCGACGCGCGCGCCTGCCGTTACAAATAATTTAAAAATTATATTTTTATCGTATTTTTATAGTTTCTTTTTTCGTGTCTCTCTCTCTGTCTTTCTCTCTATATATAGTTTTTTGTGTATATATTAAATTTTATTTCTGTTCTCTCTCGTTCTTGCACGCACAACGCACGGGAAAAGATCTCGGTAACGATATCGTTATAGTACAACTATACTACACACGGGTGGAACTTTTCCTCCCGGCTCTCTATTTACATGGCTCGCCATTTACTTTCTTACACGTGCGGTATGTATAAAGTGATAGCGATATTTATACGGTGTACTAACGTGCGCCTGTACATCCCTCGAACACTTTTTCTCTCACTCTCTTGTATCGCCTTGCTCTATAACTCGCTATATTCCGAAAATTCGAATAATTTTGCACCCTTGGCTTCTGTCACTTTGTTTCGTTGTATAAAAACTATCAATATCTCTACATTTCATATATTTTTTTTTAAGTTTTTCTTTTAAATCTCTCGACTAGTTTAGTGCATCATAATTTATTAGGTATTTTATTCTTTGCATAAAACTACGTTCTGATGTGTAACAAATCTAAAATCTAAAACTATGTTATACAAAGTTATATGTAAAGATTGATGTAATTTAATGGTCCAATGTTGTCAAAAATAATTATATATCAAAAATAATTATATGTCAAAAATAATTATATATAACCAATTATATGACATTTTTTCTACAGCGGGACAAAGTAACAGTATTGAGGAACACGTTAACGCCGGCTTGTAACAATCAAAGCATCTCGCGAATCCGTGCGACTACCGATCGAAGATCGTTGATATCGACGCTCGTATACATAATAATGCAACCGATCGCGATAATAGTATGCTTAATAATGCACGCGAATAATTTGCGCCATTCGCACGCGGGCCTTTGTCAGCAATAAAGCCGGCGTTCGCCAAAATGGTGATTCGGAATAGAGTAGGGTTGCGAGCGTGCCGTGATTTCGGTTCATGAATTATCCATGACGCGCGGCTTCCGTTACGTTATTAACGACAACAATACCGACTTCGTCAGCGAAGTTGATCGCGGCGATTGCTTCCACGAGAAAGCGATTTGCGTTGCGAGAAAAGAGCTGTGCTGAACTGCGAAAAGAGGATTTTTATGGTCACCAGTCTTTCGATGTCAAAACAGACGACATAAAATGTATACGCGAATCAAGCTTCATCGAGAAGCCTTTTCGGGGTGCAAAAGGGCGCTTTTACTTTTTCAGAGAGAAAATTTCCCCACAGCGTTTTCTATTCTCTCTCTGTCTCTTTATTCAGCAGTCTATATGGTTCTACGCTTCCGCAATGCTTTTAGAAATTACAAAAATAAAAGGCTCGCGCGCGGCGCTTGAAATTTCTGGCTGTATAAGCGCGAATATATGCTTAGTGTAATGGTATACTAGTCATGTGCTAGTCATGCGTGTGGCAACTATGGTCTCTGACATCTTTTATGCACGTTGGATTCTAAATGAGATCCGTTTGGGAATTATTTCTTATAGATATTCACGCATCGATCTATTACGCTATACATTATACATTAGATATTTTCCTTAAAAGAGGATTTGCCATTTAAAAATATGAAGGTTGAATCAACTTATTATCACTAGTTTTCTTGGCCGGATAGATCACTAATAACACTTTGGTTCTAAATTTGAAAGGTTGGGAAAAGAATATATTTGTTATTATTATTAAATCATCTCTCTCTCTCTCTATTCTGATAGAGTACATGAAATATCAAACTTTTTATTTAAGTACAAGGCATTGTTAAGTACTGAACTCTGAATTTAGAATATCGCCTATTTCCATATTATATAATATTGTATATAATCGAAACTAAATTTTGTGTTCTTTAAATTTAACATCTTCTATTCTCTCGCGCGAAAATAATAAAGAGCATTTGAAAGGTTGGGAAAAGAATATATTTGTTATTATTATTAAATCATCTCTCTCTCTCTATTCTGATACAGTACATGAAATATCAAACTTTTTATTTAAGTACAAGGCATTGTTAAGTACTGAACTCTGAATTTAGAATATCGCCTATTTCCATATTATATAATATTGTATATAATCGAAACTAAATTTTGTGTTCTTTAAATTTAACATCTTCTATTCTCTCGCGCGAAAATAATAAAGAGCGTAATGCATGTGTCGTAATCTAATTGATCAGATTCCAACGTGCACATATCGTTCTTTCTTTTCTCAAGGATTACAGTATGGTCCAAGGACTTGGCGGCGTTACTCTATCGCGTGCGTGCATTTATTATTATATTTCGAGAATTTTATTGGCATATGTGTATAGATGTCGCATAGATAAAGCTCTCTAAGCTGGTACGAAAAGTAATTATTATTGGACTAGAAACGCGGCATGATCGCATAGTATCGTCTAATGTCGCCGTGCATGTGATCGGATCCGCTCGGGGGTCTCGGAAATCTAATTATAGGTTTCGTCGTATCAAAGTTTGTACGAAACTTGTCGGCCGGGTGAACAGGCCCGGTCGTTTAGGATAGGACTGGCAGTGGATCGGTTAATTTGACCACGAAGCATCCATAATCGACACCAGCTTGATCCGCAATCTGTGCAATTCAATTTAAACAACCTTGTATTTAGCCTGGAAATATAATAATAAGTGGATTTTCTATAAAAATGTTACATCACAAAAAGTTAAGAAAATAAAGTTAAAATTGTTTTTTTTTCTCATAGATTTTTAATTTAAAGTATAGTTTTAAAATATAGTTAAAATAAAATTTAAATTATAATTTCATCTCCTTGAGATGCATCTTATATTTCGGATTCGCTGATTTTTGCGCGGTACTATTTTATTATCATTTATTAATCCTATTTCAGCTTATACATACTATTTTATTCATTTATTTTGAAAATTAATGTTACGTTTCAACACTTGGCACGCGACTACTGTTCTGAGCATTTCGCGTGTTTGTTTATTTGCAAAATTGTTTGCGGATCGCTTGAAAGAGCAATAGGACTGATCATCTACAGTGACTTCGGTACTTCTTCGGAATTCTTTGCGATTGGTAGTCGCACAATTTGCGGGCGACGACGAGGACGAGATTGACTCGTTCCGATTAACGCATTCTTTCTCTCTACCTATAAATTACAAACGATTAGACTAAAAAGATAGAAGTAATTGTTAGCGTCCTTTGGTACCAGCCTGAGTCTCATTAGATTACAAATAAATTTGTTAGATAGTCTTGCAATAGTATCGGCTATATGTATAAATCACTAAGAGATCACTGTGTTTCTCTCGTCCTAATCTCGTCACTTGCTCGCGAATTTCCTCGTCGCTTCGACGATCGAATCAAGTCTGTATGTCACGATCATCGCGACTCGATCAGCCGTAGCAACCAGGATATCCTTATTGACTCTTAATCGTGGACGTCGAAGTATCAAAATACAGCAGTTTAGCACAGCCGAATCGGCGTCAGCCGCTCTCTCCATTAACGAACATGCTCGTCAATCTATTGTGGCCGGTGACAGAAACGAGACCCTTACAGTCTCTCATCGTCTCTCTCTCTTTTCTTAACGAGAGTATATTTCGAAGAGAACACGATCGGTCTTCCATTAGGACATAATGTAGTCCGCGGAGTGATGCGAGTGATGGGAGTTTCGATGTTTGTCCCTGCGATGATTCGTCCGGGAGTTACTGCCGCGAGTGCCGCTGGTACCGGTGGTGCCGGAAGTGTGATGGCTGTAACCACTGTCGCTGCCAAAGCTGCTGTCAGGTTGACCCTGGTACAGTCTGCCAGCGGTGGTCACCTGATCGCACGCCGGGTCCCGGGTCGAGTTAGTGGTATAATACACCGGTTGGCTGTACTTGTCGTCACCAAAGAGTCGATCGGTCGGCTGCGAGTACGTGTCCGAGTATTCGCCGCCCACCTGAGTATAGAGTGGCGTCGTGACATCGGATTGACTCTGCAAGCCGTAATAATCGCCGCCGTACTGTTGCTGTTGTTGCTGTGACGACGACAGGTACTTGTATTTGTCGCTACCGGACGATTTGATGCTGCGGGATGAGCGGTCCTTGCCACTCCTGTTCTGGCTAGAGTAGCGATGCAACGGGCCCAACACCGGCACACTCTCGTACGGATTCTCCTCGAGCCGTGGGGCCTGTGCGGCCGGCAAAGGTGGCACGAAATATGGTAACCTGTGCGCCACCGACGGGACGGATTGTTGACGTTGAGCGATGCTGTTGCCTGTTCGGGCACCGGCCACGCCTGGAAGCGAAGATTCGAATCAGTCAAAGTTTTCAAATGCATTTAGTAGTTATATATATTGTTTTTTGAACATGACAAAATCGTAAAATTATTCCAAAATTAGGTAATAGAAGTGAAAAATCAAAATAGAAAGTCGAGATAGTCAAGATCGATATTCGAAAGTTAAGAATAGCCGGAAGAATTAATCCAGAAAATTTCAGTACAAATTTATCAATAATTTGACTTGGTTTTATGAAGAAATAAATAAAAGGTACAAGATTTATACATAAATTGTAAAGTATTCATATAAAAATGATATACAGTAAATAAATATTAATAATAGCAAACAGTAAAGAGTAAATAGAAATACGGTGCTCGAGGAGTCCAAAAAATACAAAAAAAAGGAACAACGTCGATGAGTGTCTGAGAGATTATATGTCGTCGGACAATAACAGTAAACTACAGCATGAGGAAGAGCAAATATCGTTGTTAGTTTAACGTCTCGCAATTACGAAATCTTTCGAGCGATATTACTTTCTTTGAACAACATTACCTGAAATGGCTATCTCTATCGTTTTCTCTCACGTACGTCTCTTTGCTAAAATATCACTATGGCTTAATTATCTGTTTACCCGCGACGCTAGGATAGAGTTGAAGCAGCGCGTCCAGCAGCATGCCCTCGTGGAACTCGCCCACATCGTGATTTTTGTCCCGTCTACGTCGGTCGAGACTCCTGGGGCTGCGGCCGCGTCGCTCACGTGGTTGCCTGCCACCAGCGGGACACGTGCCCCAGGCAGGAGCGCCGCTCGAGGTGAGCATCCTCGCCTCGGACGGCTCTCCCACCGACAGCTCATCCTCGGCGAATTCATCCTCGCTCGCTGGTTTGGATGCGTTGGACGTACGGTGATGATGACGATGATGATGGTGATGATGATGTAGACGATTGCGGGCGTTCAGCTCGCTCTCCTCGTCCGTCTCCGGATGGTCCCCTACGGAGTAGAGAGATTTGTTAGGATTTGCTTAACGTTGCGACGATGGAGATGAAGAGGAAGGCAATTAATCGCGAATAAAATCTGTCCGACAATCGGGCAGGATTAATTAGACGTTGAGAAACTAGAGTATTCTTCGTGACAAGCGCACGATGAGAATTAATCAGGCGGGTAATTAGAATCCTGAGGCGATAAATTATTTAGAAAAATGAGAAGACTACGGGATATGGGGATTATTGTACGGTGATCATATACGGTGACTCACGAAATTGATCAAGTGTCTCGAAGAAATATCGAAAAGTTATTTAAATATATATGAAATATATATCAATAGAAATTTTTTTTATAAAAGACAAAAATTTAGTTTTATGCGCCTTCTTTCTTTCCTCTTATCATGTTAAAAAAAAAAGTTTTATGGAATTTTGAAAACGTTGAATCAATTTCGTAACTGTGAGAAACAAGAGTCAAATTCTTTAAAAAGACGCCTCACATATAATCCCATGCGGGCTGCGATTGCAATATCATTCCACACTAGACGTCGACTGACGAAAAAACAATTGTGTCCCCAGAATAGAATTATTTTCTTCAATCATGGAGAGCGAAGGATTCGGCTTCGCCTACGGGAACAAGCTGGATCGCAAGCTCGAATTTCATTTAAAACAAAAAAAGTGCGTCTTGAACAATTGGAGATTTTGCCGTTAAATCGTCGGAATAACCCACGGTCCATTTCGGCCGATATTTCGTAACCGAGAGAATTCGGTTTCGCGCAGGAATTTCGCTCGTCGATTCGGCAACGCGAGCGCGAGCGGTCGTCTCGCCGTTCCGTTCCTCCGTTAATTGCCTCGCGTTATTCCGTCGAACACGAGCGTTCGGCCGCGATCGATACTAACGACACACAGCGGGGCGTGTACGCGGGCTAAAAAAAATTGGCGAATGTCGTACGAATAATCGCGGCGCGGCGGAAAAAAAAAGGAAAAAAAAAACCAATACCCGTCTGGAACGTCGCGCGCGCGGGCTCGCGACCGAAATCGGTTTCGCGAGAAATTGAGGGGGCTCGTTCTCGATTAATTTTTATCTCGCGGCGGCAATCGGAAACGAAGCGGAGAAAAGAGACGTATCACGCCGAATTGTTCTCTCGAGCAGATTGGAGGTGTTATCGACTGGCTCCACTCTCGGACATTAAGTCTGCGCTCCGTTGATCGTTAAATCGCTCGAGATAGCCTCCGTCGTCTTGGGCGAGTGTCCTCTCGAAATATCCTCCGGTGTTTCCACGGGGAGATAGGAGGATGACCCGGTAACGTGTCGATTTCGATCGAGATAGATCCGAGTTACGTTCGACCGATTCTCAATTTCCATCGTCGAATTTCCGAGTAAATAACGCGATATGTTATTAGCCAACAAGAGCTTGAACTGTTTCGATAAAATAAATTTTATATATAAATAACTCGTATACAATAACCGTCTATTATGATTCAATTTTGAAATATAGGTCAACTCCGTGTGTATGAAGTATAATATATCTTTTGTTTTCGTGAAATAATTTTCAGGCTTTGAGGAATAAGCTGCAAAATTATTTTTAAAAAATACAAGAATACATGTATATATATATATATCTCTGTAAGTAATTATGTATGATGGAAAAAATGTGTGTATAACTTTAAAAATTATTAAAATTATAAAAAATTCTTTCCCCGGGAATTATTCTGTCAAAAATAGAGAATTTCATTTGACACAAGTTCAATTTGATCAATTCCATGAACGCGCGGGTTATCCTCGTCGTCGACGTGATCGTCGAGCGAATCCGAGCGATCCGTTGAATTCCCTAGCGTTTTTACAAGCCCGCGAGGGACAGGACCACCCCCTTCGAGATCGATGTTCTCCCTCGTCTCGAAACTGGAGAACGATGATGCATACATAGCGTATATACACACGCGGGTTCGTGGTTACGACTAATGCACGCGGTGCAGCATGTATATTCGATTACCGGATCCTCGTCAAACGTCGAAAGCCTCATCACCATACTAATTAGCCGTCCAACTAATGGGAAGTATAAGTCAGAGGTCGTGTCACGTTTATCTCCCTTTGGTAAAATACACGACGGCACAGAAGAACGGGATCGCTGCGGGGAGAAAGAGAAGACGACAAAGAGAGATAGAGAGAGAGAAAGAAAAAGTGATTGCGATGAGATTATGGGAGAGAAATAGGCGAGAAGACGTAATGTAAAACTGCACTTATCAAAATCTCGTTTCTTGAAATGAGTACAGACTGTGAGGGTAATTATACATATATTTATAATATAAATCTTCGAAAGAGTTGTGAATTTAGCTTTGTTGTTTATGATATATTATTTTTTATATCGCAGACTGTGTTTTTCAGATTTAGGAATCTTATGGATTCATAGATTCTTCAATTTTCGAAGATATATTTTTAGATACTTAAATATCTGTTCCTATAAATTCTTAATAAATGCTTGTAAATTCTTAGACGCATGAAGAATCTTCAAATCCGTAGATTTCATTACACAAATCATAGATAGAAATTTATATTCATAAATTTTCTCTTTTTTTTTTTTCACTGTGTTTTTCTTATAATTTAAAGATTTAAATCTCTGAATCGCGAGTTCGTATTTTCATCCACAAACATTTTTACTCATTTTTCGTTCAACAAAAATCTATTCTTTTGCAATTTCATGAGATTCGTAGTATCACATAAATTCTCTCTCTACCTTTTTCGCTCATTTTCAATACCGTAAACTCATTCAACTCCGTAGATCTTACATTCGTAAAGTGTACTTCCGCGATATGCAAATTTTCACTTGGAATGTTTTTAAAAAGTTCTATCGATTTTTACCCCGTAAATCTTTCTGTAAATCGCGATATGCGCGTATCTGCCGGATTATTTTGATAAATGCAGTCTCGCAGTATCAGGACCAGAAAGAAGGACACGTGAAAGAGACGGGCGAGAGGAGGGAAGGGGAGCGACGTGGAAGCCTCGCAAGCGCGCGTTAGTCGGCGGAATTCAACGCTGGTTCAACGCAGCCGTATGTTAATCGTGTGTTAAGCCAACCGACAGACGCACACACCGTGTTGAAAACTCTCGTATATTCGTGGCATACCTATGCGTTTCCCGCGGGCATGTTCGATCGAGGATACTCCCTTGCGTCTTCAGAGGCGAGTCTCATCTAGAAGGAGAGTGCGTGATTGCATCTGCATGTGAACGTCGTTTTCCACGCGTCGTCGAGAAGACAAAACGGGATATCTTCACAATCTCGCAAGGATTTTCTGTCGCAATTTCTCGGCTGACCGAATAGGTTGACGTATCTTAAGATTCGCGTAAAAGTACGCTTAATTAAGACAATTTTGCTCATTTCTTCTTTTAATTTTGTTTGCTTAAAATTAATTTATATTTTTAATTTTTACTTGTTTCTTCTTTTTATTGTCCAGCTTTAGACTATCTTGCTTTAGATTATCTTGCTAAAAGATTATCAACCGAAGGAATCTTAAATAAAGATATATCTATTTCTTTTCAGTTTTTAACAAACACTTTGCAAAAATAATATATGCAGAAAAAAAAGGTCGCGAATTTTCAAATTCGCGTTTATAATTCGAGTTTTTGTTCTCTGAAATTAAATCTTTTAATGAAATATTTTAACTGTTCCTTTTCTCTCCATCGTCGCATTGTTGTTCTCAAGATTCTCCAGTGCGATGTTCTCCGTAAAAAGACCGCGGCACGTAAAAGGAGACGCTTGGGCGAAGCCGTCCAAAGTAAACATCGATTATCGGCACTTACCGTTGCTGAGCTCCTCGTAGACAGGATTATAGAGGTCCTGCGATGTGTAAGGATCAGGACCGGGGCTGCTGCAGACGAACACCCCTCTCCCGCCCTCCTTGACGTCCAACATCTGCCGTGATAAGAAAAATGTCATTTAAAAAAAGGGGAATATAACACGCGCGACGCGATAAGGAAAGAAATATATCTTTTTTTATAAAATATATCGCATTGTTAAATAACGAATGTGGGGTATTTGCAATTGTTATTTATATTATACTTACACATAACAGCATGGAAGGCGCAAATAGGTGTCGCAAATATTAGAAAGTGATCGATCAGACACCGATACTCTTTTAGCCGTAAGTTATTAAAAATTTGAGAAGACACGCCGCGCGATTAATTTTACGTTTGATAAAATCTCAATTCTACTGTGATATTATAAATTATGCGCCGTTTGAGGATTAAGACCGCCACCATTTCCTTCGTTTTGCGAGGTTGAAGGGTAATTAGTCGCGAGTTGTGACTAAAAATAGGTCAGCTCGTTACAAACGGGCTCGAGTTTCGCGTTGTTTTACGAGGCTCTTTAGGAACGGCGACTTGTTTACGACAGCGCTGGAAAACAATTAGCGAATAAAGGTAAGGGATGCGGGGTAGCAAGATCGCGGAGGGGAGAAGGGAAACCGGGGGAGGGGGGGTGCAGATGGTGAGAAGAAACTCAGAAGCAAGGTGGCGACTGGCACGAGTTTCGAGAACCTTAACACTCT